CACTAAAGAAATTGATACAATGAAGAAAAGTTTAACCGAACTCCTGGAAATGAAGAATCAATTCAAGGAACTACAAAATACAGTGGAAAGTCTCAAGAATAGGGTATATCAAACAGAAGAAAGAATCTCAGAGATTCAAGATAACACCTTCCAATTAAATAAATCAGTCACAGAGATAGAGCAGAGAAACAAGAGAAAAGAGCAAAGCCTATAAGAGATGTGGGATTATGTGAAGAAACCTAATGTGAGGGTCATAGGGTTACCAGAAGGGGAAAAAGACAACACTCAAGGGTTGGACAAGCTATTTGAAGATATAATAGAGGAAAATATCCCAGGCCTTCCTAAAAATCTTGATATACAAGTTCAAGAAGCTCAGAGGACCCCTGGGAGATTCAATGCAAGCAGGAAGACGTCACAACATGCAGTCATCAGACTGACCAAAGTATCAACTAAAGAGGCCCTTCTAAGAGCTGTGAGATGAAAGAAGCAAGTAACATACAATGGAAAGCCAATCCAAATAACACCAGACTTCTCTACTGAGACTCTACAAGCAAGGAGAGTCTGGGGCCCCATCTCACTCTTCTGAAACAGAACAATGCCCAGCCTAGAATCTTATTCCCTGCAAAACTAAGTTTTGTATATGAAGGAGAAATCAAGACATTCTCAGATAAGCAAAGACTGAGGGAATTCACCAAGACAAGACCAGCCCTTCAAGAAGTACTCAAAACAGTGTTACCCACGGATCAGCACAATAAACACTCATGAATGTAAATCTACTTAAAGCTAAAGATCAAAGCCCAGATACCACAATAGCTCAAGAGAGAAAACAAAGCAACAAAGTTCAACCCAACATAATGAACAGAAATCTGCCCTACCTATCAGTTATCTCAATAAATGTTAACGGCTTGAACTCCCCACTCAAGAGATATAGGCTGGCCGAATGGATAAAAAAACACAAGCCAAGTATCTGCTGCCTTCAGGAAACACATCTAACCTGCAAGGATGCATATAGACTAAAGGTAAATGGGTGGAGAACAATAGTTCAAGCAAACAGAAGCCAAAAGAAAGTTGGCATGGTGGTGCTGATTACAGATAACTTAGTTTTTAAATCAACAAAAGTAATAAAAGACAAAGAAGGTCACTATATAATGGTGAAGGGTACAGTTCAACAAGAAGACATAACAATTCTAAACATATATGCACCCAACCTAGGTGCACCCAGATTCATAAAGCAAACTCTACTTGATCTAAACAAATGGATAAACAACAATACCATAATAGTCAGAGACTTTATCATCCCACTGACAGCACAGGACAGATCCTCCAAACAGAAAATCAACAAAGAAATAATGGACTTAAAGAGAACTCTAGAACAAATGGGCTTGACTGACATTTAAAGGACATTCTACCCCCAAACCACTGAATATACGTTCTTCTCATCAGCTCATGGCTCGTTCTCTAAGATTGACCATATCCTAAGACACAAAGCACATCTGAAACAATTTTAAAAAATAGAAATTATAACATGTATCTTTTCAGACCACAATGGAATAAATGTAGAAATTAATCCTAACAGGAGTTCTCATTTCTACACAAAGTCATGGAAACTAAACAACTTTCTGCTGAATGATCACTTCATAAATAAGGAAATCAAGATGGAATTCAAAAGATTCTTTGAACTAAACGACAAAAGTGACACAAGTTACCAAAACCTGTGGGACACAGCTAAAGCAGTCCTGAGAGAAAAGTTTATTTCCATAAATGCCTATATCCAAAAATTGAAAAGATCACAAATCGATAACCTAATGAACTGTCTCAAAGAGCTGGAAAAAGAAGAACAGATCAACCCCAAACCCAGCAGAAGAAGTGAAATCATTAAGATCAAATCAGAACTAAATGAAATTGACAACAGGGAAACTATACGGAAGATTAATAAAACAAAAAGTTGGTTCTTTGAAAAAATAAACAAAATTGACACACCATTGGCTAGACTAATGAAAAGCAGAAAAGAAAAAGCTCTCATAAGCTCCATCAGGAAAAATAAAGGAGAAATTACAACTGATGCCATGGGGTTGATCTGTTCAAGATATAATTTATGAATACTACAAAAACCTCTATGCACAAAAACTGGAAAATGTGGAGGAAATGGACAATTTCTTAGAAACACAAAGCCTCCTTAAGTTCAACTAGGAAGAAATAGAATTCCTGAACAGACCAATATCAAGTACTAAAATTGAAACAGCAATGAAAAACCTTCCTAAAAAGAAATGTCCTGGACCAGATGATTTCACACCTGAATTTTACCACACCTACAAAGAATAACTGGTGCCTATCCTGCAGAAATTATTCCACAACATTGAGAAGGATGGAATTCTCCCCAACACATTTTATGAAGCGAACATAACCCTGATACCAAAACCAGGAAAGGATGCAACAAAAAAAGAAAACTACAGACCAATATTTTTTATGAATATAGATGCAAAAATCCTCAACAGAATCCTAGCCAATTGAATCCAGGTGCTTGTCAAGAAAATTCATCACAACCAAATGGGCTTGATCCCAGGGATGCAGGGATGGTTCAACATATGCAAATCTATAAATGTAATTCGCCATATAAACAGAAGCAAAAACAAAGACCATATGATCCTCTCAATAGACGCAGAGAAAGCATTTGACAAAATTCAACACCCTTTTATGATAACACTCAACAAAATAGGCATAGACGGGGCTTACCTAAAAATGATACAAGCCATATATGACAAACCCACAGCCAATATCATACTGAATGGGGAAAAATTGAAAGCATTCCCACTTAGAACTAGAACAAGAAAAGGTTGCCCACTATCTCCACTTCTGTTCAACATAGTGCTGGAAGTCCTCGCTACAGCAATCAGACAAGAGAGTGGAATTAAGGGTATCCAAATGGGAGCAGAAGAGATCAAACTCTCACTATTTGATGATGACATGATATTATACCTAGAAAACCCCAAGGATTCAACCAAGAGACTCCCTGAATTGATAAATGAATTTGGTAAAGTCTCAGGATACAAAATCAATATACAGAAATCAGAGGCATTCATATACTCCAACAACAGTACAAGTGAGAACCAAATCAAAGACTCAATTCCCTTCAAAATAGCCACAAGGAAAATAAAGTACCTTGGAATATATTTAACTAAGGAGGTAAAAGACCTCTACAGGGAGAACTATGAAACACTGAAGAAGGAAATAGCAGAGGATGTAAACAGATGGAAGAATATACCATGCTCATGGGTCGGCAGAATCAACATTGTTAAAATGTCTATACTACCCAAAGTGACCTACAGAGTCAATGCAATCCCTATTAAAATGCCACCATCATTTTTCACAGATATAGAAAAAATAATTTTATGCTTCGTGTGGAACCAGAGAAGACTCCATTTAGCAAAATCAATCCTAGGCAATAAAAACAAAATAGGAGGTATCAATTTACCAGACATCAAACTATACTACAAGGCTATCGTCATTAAAACAGCATGTGACTGTCACAAGAACAGGGACATTGACCAGTGGAACAGAACAGAGAACCCAGATATAAAACCATCCTCATATAGCCAACTAATTTTCGACAAAGCAGACAAAAACATACACTGGGGAAAAAAATCCTTATTCAACAAATGGTGCTGGGAAAACTGGATAGCCACATGTAGAAGACTGAAACAAGACTCACACTTTTCACCTTTCACAAAAATCAACTCATGTTGGGTAACAGACTTGAACCTTAGGTGTGAAACTATTAGAATCTAGAGGAAAATGTTGGAAATACTCTTTTAGACATTGGCCTAGGCAAAGAATTTATGAAGAAGACCCCAAAGGCAATCACGACAGCAACAAAAATAAACAAATGGGACCCGATCAAATTAAAAAGTTCCTGCACAGCCAAAGAAACTATCAAGAGAGCAAACAGACAACCCACAGAATGGGAGAAAATTTTTGCAAGCTACACATCTGATAAAGGGCTGATAACTAGAACCTATTTAGAACTCAGGAAAATTAGCAAGAAAAAATCAAACAACTCTATCAAAAATTGGGCAAAGGACATGAACAGAAACTTCTCAAAAGAAGACAGAATAAAGGCCAACAAACATATGAAAAAATGCTTAACATCTCTAATCATCAGGGAAATGCAAATCAAGACCACAATGAGATATCACTTAACTCCAGTGAGAATGGCCTTTATCAAAAAGTCCCCAAACAATAAATGCTGGCGTGGATGTGGAGAGAGAGGAACACTCCTACACTGCTGGTGGGACTGCAAACTAGTTCAACCTGTGTGAAAAGCAATATGGAGATACGTCAAAGTGGTAGAAGTAGATCTACCATTTGATCCAGCAATTCCACTACAGGGCATCTACCCAAAAGATCAAAAGTCACTTTATGAAAAAGACACCTGCACTTGAATGTTTATAGCAGCACAATTCACAATTGCAAAGTTGTGGAAACAACCCAAGTGTCCATCAATTCATGAGTGAATTAATAAAATGTGGCATATGTATACCATGGAATACTACTCAGCTTTAAGAAACAATGGTGATATAGCACCTCTTGTATATTCCTGGATACAGCTGGAACCCATTCTACTAAGTGAAGTATCTCAAGATTGGAAAAACAAGCACCACATGTACTCACCAGCAAACTGGTATTAACGGATCAACACCTAAGTGGACATATTGGAGAAACATTTATCAGGTGTCGGGAGGGAGGGAGGGGGAGGAGGGATAGATATATACAACCACAACAAGTAAGATGTGCAACGCTTGGGGGATGGACACGCTTGAAGTTCTTACTTGAGGGGGGCATGGGCAATATATGTAACCTTAACACTTGTACCCTCATAATACGCTAAAATAAAAAAACAAAAAGTAAAGATTCATAGTTTGGTTTCAATATCCTGTAAAAATAACAAGTAAATTCTGATTGTTTCAGCCAATGCCACCCTGAATGTATGAACACAAACCTCATCCATATAACTCTTGATTTTTTTTTTTTTTGAGAAATAAACATTATCACAAGCCATCTGGCATCCTACAATTAATGAAATAAGATCTATTTCTAGGAACAACTTAAACCTTAGAAGAACTTAGCTCTGTCACAAATTCAACTTTCCTATTCTTTTGTCTTTGGATAATATCCCACTGGTTATTGCCTTATTTGTATTTAAACTACTTAAACTGTGTTCTGTACTTTTTTTTTTAAGTTTTGACCTTTAACCAACTATCACTTCTGCACACACAGTGTAATAGTTATCCTTTAGGAGAATATATACTATATACAGAGAATTTTTTTTTCTGTGAAGGATACAAACATAAAATTTGCAACATCTGCCTTAGAGAACCTTGGCGGTCAAAATTAGTAAGTAATGCTCTTGTTTATCTACTGTTCTTAGCTTAAGCTGAAACTAGAGCATCTCTATAATTTTGAGTATTATCAGAGGCACAACTTTTATTAGCATTTCCACTCATAGTTGTGAGATCTAAATTTCACAAACTAAATCAAAAGCCTGATGACAGTATTCTCATCCATGTTGCAACACAGAAATTTAAATTATGCAACTTTTTATTTGAGAACATTTGTTGTTTTAGAACTTTCTTGTGCCTCTGGGGGAGTGCAGATTTCTCTGGAATCCAGGATGGTGCCAAAATTCGTCATGGCTTTTATTAGGAAATGCACAGAAGGTGAACATTCAAGCGAGAGTTCCAGAAGCACTATGTTGATTTGGTCTATCAGCTATCTGAATGAACAAAAGAAAGATATGTTAACAGAATTTCCTGAATCAGCTTCTGTAAAAGGTAAGGCTTACCTGATAGGTCACTCCTGAGACCAGAAACTTGACTATAACTGCTAGATGTCATCTGTTTAATCCCCTTATTCACAATACAGATAGCTAAAACCAAGCTCATAGAAGTATAACGAACGGAATGGTTGAGCATGACTACAACTATGATATGGAATTTGAACTATATTGTGTTAGCCAAATAGTCAAATTTATTTTTGGTAACTTATCAGAAAGTATGTACATGCAAATGAGTACTACAGTACAATGTGAGTGTTTTGGAGCACCATCTAGAATAAATGCTGCTAACACTAAATTCTTAGTGAGGAGTCTAATTTCCTAGTTTGCAAAATTATAATAATATTGATGCTAATAATAACATACTACCTAACTAAACATTGAGGGGTCTGAAGAGAATTGAATGAGATCGTGCCTATGAAAGTGATTGAACATCCTGAGTTTGATGTGTAGAAGCCAACTAAATGATGCATAAGTTGCAAGGACTGCTAATCCATCCTGTGTTACACAATGAAACATTTCCTTCTCTATCAGCACCAGCAGGGTGGAAGAGTGCAGAGAAGTGTTACAGTGAGGCTTCTCACTGAATCTACGTAACCACCACCCAGGTTAGGAAGTACTACATCTCTAGGATCCAGAAGGTTCTCATTGTACTCCCACTCTTCAAACCAAAGAAAGCCAACTTCATTTCTTATAATTGGACAACTTTTTTTGACTATATAAATGTAATAATATAGTATACATATATATATAATCTGGCTTTTTTCTAACTTAGTATGTTTGTGAGATTCATCCATATTGCTGTATATGGCAATACTTTGTTCATTTTCTTTGCTATATAATAATCCATGGTGTAAATATATCACACTTCATCCATTCTACTATTTATTGGCATTGACCTGGTCTCTAGTGTGGAAGTTATCACAAATAATTCTGCTATGAGCATTCCTGTATATATCTTTTAGTGCACATATATATGCCACATATGTCTTAGTTAATTATATAGAATATAGAATGGAATATTGTGTCTTAAGGCATACATACATATACATTCAACTTTAAAATATATTGAAAAATAATTTGGAAAATTATTTTTCCTGATTTATATTCCTTCAAGTAGTGTATAGAAGTTCTAGTTGCTCTACATCCGGTCTGTGCTTTGTCTATTGTTTATATTTTTCATTTTAGTTATTCTGGTATGTGTGTAATAGTAGTCCATTGTGTATCTGATTGCATTTCCCTGGTTACTTATGATAATGAGCACATTTTCATGTTTTGTCATTTAGATATTTTCTTGTGTGAAATATCTATTATTTTCTATTGGATTATTTGCCTATTATTTATTTGCATGAGTTTTTTATGTATTATTAATACAAACCATTTTCTTGCTTATGTGAATAGCAAATGTCTTCTCTGAGCTATCTTGCTGCTTTCCCTCTCTTAATGATATCTTTTAATAGAATTTTGTAGTTTTAGTGTTCAAGTAGAACATAATTTTTAGAAACTTTTAAAAATAATTTTTCTTTATGAATAATGCTTTTTTTTGGGTTCTGTTTAAGATATTATCTATTTTCCCAAATTTATTCTGGAAGCATTATTATTTTTCCTTTCAAATTTAGATCTACAACCACATGAATTGATTTCTTTATGCATGGTGTAAGTGGAAACAATATATATATATTATCCTGAAATTTTCATGGCTGAACATAAGCTTAAATTACAGAAACTTTAAAAATTAAATTATAGAATTTTTTGTGGCTGAACATGAGCTTAAATTACAGAAATGATATGGCTACTACAGTATGAGTAAAGTGACTGAAAATCTATAGAATTTGTCAAATTTGTTCTCAAACTAAGGGGTGGGAGATTCAACTGCACTCAAACTAAGGGAAGGAAGATTCAACTGCACGTTTAAAATTCATGGTTTTAGAAAAAGAAAGCCCTTTTGTTTAACCTTCACAGGGTTCGTTTGCTAAATATATCAAATATTTTTTAAAAGGGAAAATGAATAAGAGGAAATATTACTTCAGATTAAAATGTTTACTTCAGATTAAAAAGTCTGTGGGATATTGAGGTACATATGCTCTTGAAGTATGCTTCCCAGTGACATCTATGAAGATTGAAATTCTGACTGAGGCTGGAAGCCATCAATTCATAGTGCTACAGTCAGCAGTGGTCTATGGTTTTATGTAACCACTTTAAGAAATTGTTGGTGATGGACTACCATGCTATTTTCTTTGTGGTTGGAGCTTTTGTTATCATGGAGTCACCAATTACTAAGCTCAAGCGTGATATCATCTATACAGGAAAAGCCCCTGCTATTGCTATAGGAATCAGTAATTTTACATGTTTACAACAGGATCTTTGCAATTTAAAATAAACTTTGTAAGGACAAGTTTATACCCTGTATCATTGCTCGGGTGAGCCCCTACCCATCACTTATAAATATAAAATGAATTCTTGTCCATTTGAATACAGCTTTCTGGCCACCTAGCTATGTATTCATCTGTCATCTGGTCCTCTTAGACATACCTGTCTGCTGACAGTGCTCTCTGGGCTCTCCTCACAAAAGTTCTGAGACTAATGGTATTGAATAGCCTCTCCCTCTCTCTCATCTTTTAGAAAGCTCTTGACTTGGCTAGTCCCTAGACATTATATGTATTTTACTTTGTGCACACAAAATACATAGTTTTTGAAATTATTCATAAAATACTTATCCAGCAATTACTAAGTGTCATGTGCTCGGTCCCAAGTGCTTCATAAATATAAACTTTTACTTTTCATAATAACTCTATGAAGTTGGTACTATTATTACTGTCATTCTACAGGTGGAAAAAGTAAGCCACAGACAATAAATAACATTTCTGTGATCATACCAGGCCATATCTCCATATTATCATTAATAATAATTATTAATAAAAATTGAATCAAGAAGACTTACGGGACTGTGTCAGCAGTTAATGTGTATTATCTTATTTAATTTTCCAAAAACCTAAGAAAATAGGCTCAGAAAATGTAAGCAAATCATCCAAGATAACACAATTATAGATGGATTAGTTAGAATTTGAATTAGTTAGAATTTCGCCAAACTCAACTCTATCTGCTATGTCCAAACGCTGCTATGCAGTGTTTTCACCCTCTTCCCAAAGATGACATTGACACGTGAATGAAGAGAAGTGTGAGGAGTCATAAGACACAGTGTGACTTAGACTCCCAGCATTGTGTCTAAGGATACATGTTATTGCCATTTTACAGGTGAAGAACTGCGGGGGAGAATTGTTAAGTAAGATGCCCAAGAGCTCATGGCAAGGCTGGAATTTGAAGACAGGCTTTCTGCCTTCTAGAATCATTGTCTTGATTTAGGTTTCCCCAGAAGCAGACACTGAACAGAGATTCTAAGTGAAACCAGAGGTGAGCCCCAAAACAAAGGTAAGAATGTGGGCAAGTGAAATAGCAAAGAGAAGGAAGCCAATTAAGTGCAAGTAACTGCTGGGACAATTAGAGGTTAACTCCCTTGAGGAACACTGGTGAACAGTGTAAAACAATTACCTTAGTTATTGCTTGAGGGCTGCTGCTGGGAGACATTAAAATCCCTAGCACTTCTGACCTGCTGTGGATAGCTCCACCTGCCAGAGAAAGCCCTCCGGCAAGGACATAGAGATTCTGGCTGTTGGAAATTGGGAGGAAATGCTCCTGAGAGATAAAGATTGGGAGGATATGAGTGTCTCTGAAACCTAGACTTTTGACATCATTGCTGGCAGTTTTTTAGAATTTCTTTGCAAACTAGGAAAAATAATTATTTGATCATAGGACTGGATTCTTTCAGGCTCTACTTAAAACGGTCCACCACGATCACCATAGGAATACTTCATTTATGTTTCCTATGACATTAGAACTCTTATGGGATTAAGAACATTTTACTTATTGAGTAGCAATCGAGTAGTAATTCTAAAAAGTTGATGTAAGTATTCAGCAACAAATCTTAAATATTTTGCACACCTGATCTGGCGTGTTTTCATAAACTTTTCTTCCACACGATCCATAAATGCACCATACGCATCACGCCGCCTTCTGTGTCTCTTAAGGAAAATGGTACAAAGAAAGTCAGTGAAAGTAAACATGTATTAACTCTAATTGTTGTTTATTTTTTTAAAAACTATTTTATAGTCTTTGCTTTAAAAGCTTATCTGTACTCCAGACTCACGTCTTGTTTTTCTTGGACATACAGGGTTTACAAAGCAGCCTTATTTGCCAAGGGTAGATTTTGAGCCATCGTAAAAGTATGTGTTCTCGACATTGTTTTATGAATGCATCACAGATTTTTCTAGTCAGGACTTCTCCCTTCAGTGCAATTCACTAAACTGTTTGTGGGCTCCAAGTGAGGTGGGAGGGAATTTGGGAAAAATTTCTTACAACATTTAGGCCTTAGTCCACCATATTAACTGTCTTTGTAATGAGAAAAGAAAATCCAAAATATTAGATAATTCATTATTTGCATTTCAGGAAAAAGTAGAGGTCTACATACGTTTTTAAAGATAGAAAATCTTTTACTATATACATTACAACAAATTAAAAACTCTGCACTAAGCAATTTTGACAGCCATGCTGGAGGAATTCCCAACAGTTATGGGAAAGAGTCAAACTCACTGTGTATGAAGCAGATCTAACAGGCCATGGGGATTTTGTCAGAATTAGTTTTGAGTCCCAGGTGCATTCACGAGACTTGTAGGTGATAAATCTTTCTATAGTGTTCTTCTGTTTATCATTTTTCAGTAAATGGCTCCCACGTTCTAGAGATAGGAAGACAAATGAGAAACTTAGCAATGACACATGTCTTTGTTCATGATGCCTTTCTGATACTATATCATTTTTGGAGATCAGGACCCAGGGGTAGTAAATTACTGAACAATTTATAAGTGCAAATCTAAATAAAACTTTGATTATTTTTTCTTTTTTAAGTTTACAATTATAAAATTATTCACTTCTCATTTTGAAAAGAAGAAAAAATGCAACCATGACCCTACTATCCAGAGATAATTACTGTTAACACCTTATTGTTTGTTTTAATTGTTCTATAATTATGATATGTTAATATAGCATTAATGTATTATTCATTCTTGTGCAAATAAAGAATGATGAATAATAAAAATTAACTCTGGGTAAGTGTCATACAAATGGCACCATAATAATTATAATGGCATGTTTGTGTTTGTGTGTGTGTGTTTGTTTATCATGTGCTTTACAATATACTATTAACTAAATGCTTTACATATGGTATTAGCTAATTTAATTTTCACAGTATTTCTATGACATAGATTCAGTTGTTATCATCTCCATGTATAGAGGTGGAAAGTGAGAGACAGTTTAAGTGATGAAGTTTAGGATCATGAAGCCAAGATTCAAAGTTACACACTTTGGCTTCAGAGTTTATTCTCTTAAGAATTACACTCTATTTGTTCTCTATGCACAACATGTTGAGTTACAAACTCAATCTTCAAAGATAAACTAAAAGTTGTGGGTAACAATGTAAATGGATTATTGCAAATAATTTTTAAAAATTTACCACATTATAAATAAAGGTGATAAGTAAAAGAAAAAAAACTCTTTTAGTTATAAGCCTTTGCAAGTACTATTATTAATATATAAAGCAGTTTTTTTCCAATATTCATAACTGTATAACAACTTACCTGTACTTAAGAGTTGTGACTTAAATTTTAATCCCAAAGGGTCCTTTTCATAAGTTGTCACAAAGTTTGGTAAATCAGGTTGGTACTAGATATGTAAAGAGAAGTTGCACTATTACTAATAAATATTGTTTCTTCCTATAGATGGAGTTTGATTTTTCCCAATATTACACATTTTACTAACAAAATGTGATCTTGAGGCTTTTGTTGTAGCATTTAAATGTAGCATTTAAAACTTATATATGATAATTTGAAAGAATAGTCTAAGATCTGAATTCTGTATAAACAATTATTTTATAATGGGGAGGAGTACTTTAATTTCCCTTTTGTTAATAGATCATAATATCTTAAACATATCTTAAGATATCAGAATATCTTAAACAGTATGAAGTTAAGGAAATCTATTTAAAGTTTGACATTTTATTCTTAAACTAAATCTTGATCTATGGCACATAGAGTAACGTATTATTTTTCTGGAACTGCATTTATTTTAGGAACATAGCAAAAATATTGAACAAAGATAAATAATTTGTCAAGCCTAGAATAGAGTAACTATTGATTATTTTTAGTAAGCTGTAAAACCAAGTATGTTTTCTAAAATGGTTTAAATGAACCAATTTGAACTGAAATAGAACTTGTACATCACAAAAAGTGATCAAATAAAGTAACACAAATGTCTATACTCAAAAGCTGAATCAATGTGGCACAAAGCAGTGAACTCGAGGGTACCAATTTCAACAGGGTTCTCTTTTTAATGAGTGACTCTAGGTCCTGCCACAGCATATAGAAAAATATTAAAAATTCCAAAGATGGAGATTCTCTAATCCAAGATTTTTCACTCTTTAATCAAGTACAACATGAGGCCAAGTTAGTTTCAAAAAGCCTTCATTGAGTTTTAAGTTGTAAAAATACTGACATCTAGTGGTTGCACAGTTTGTCTCACGCTGCCTACAATTTACTCATTCATAGAAGCAAATTCAGCTAACATAAAAATGTCCTTCATTTCTCTAACTTTACTTGCCCAAGTCTTGTAATCCTGTTACAAGTGAAATACTTAAATAAAAAAACATTAAATATTTAATTTACCACCCTGACCTCCAAAAGGTAACATATCTCATTTACTATAAATGGAAGTGTTCAGATGCCCTGATGTAAGGAAAGTTACCGGTGGTGGTTTCCTGAGTTTCCCAACTTTTATCCTAACAGCTCATGAGAGTTAACATTCATTGAATGTCTCAACATTCCAGACTTTATTGTGCTTTGCATATATTGTCTCCTTCACTACTTGCAATAACCATATAAAATGTGACATTGTTACATGTTATAAATAAGAACAGAGGCTTAGCAACTTGTTCAAAGGTATTAGAAAGTCAAAGAACAGGAATAATCTGATCCCAGAAGTCATGTTCTTAACTACTATACTATATTTTCACATTGTAATAAATATATTCTATCTCACTTTTTTTTTGTACTATCAGTCCTGTTGTTTCTATCTTTGCTAGCTAGAGTCATATTTATGTGCTAAAGTAACCCCTGGCTACTGATATCTGTTCTCTGATCACATCTAAATCTAAACTCTTCTCCTCAAACTTAAGAAAGCTCATTGCAGAGTTGACCACTCTAACTGACAGATAAAATCCCATCCGAAACAATAACCTAGGTCTTACCTTTCTCTTCTACTATTTATTCCTGAATCTGAATTGTATTGTTCCATGAGAAAAAAAGATGCAACAATATACATATTGTATACACATTTAAAAAAATATTTAGTAGTTCTCTTAATTAAGAAATGAATAAAAAATAATGTATTTTTATTTTATTTTATTTTATTTTGAGACAGAGTCTCACTTTGTTGCCCAGGCTAGAGTGAGTGCCATGGCGTCAGCCTAGCTCACAGCAACCTCAGACTCCTGGGCTCAAGCAATCCTCCTGCCTCAGCCTCCCAAGTAGCTGGGTCTACAGGCATGTACCACCATGCCTGGCTATTTTTTTGTATATATGTATTAGTTGGCCAATTAATTTCTTTCTATTTATAGTAGAGATGGGGTCTTGCTCTTGCTCAGGCTGGTTTACTCCTGACCTTGAGCAATCCGCCCGCCTTGGCCTCCCAGAGTGTTAGGATTACAGGCGTGAACCACTGTGCCCGGCCAAGAAATGAATAAAAATAATGTATATTTCCCATTATTTGTATTAAGTTGTTTAGAATCAAATGCTTTTTTGTACCTGTCGGAAGTCATGTGGTTTTGGATCGACATATACACCCCTCGGGGATTTTCCACCCTTTACAAACATTAACTGCGCTCTGTGTGAATCCAGATGTGGAAATGTAGTTACAAACTTAGATATGGCCTTCTTGGGATGATTCCTTATGCTGGGCAAGTCAACTATTCTTTCTGGAACATTGCTTTTTTTTCTCTTTTGTTCTTCTTTAAGGGTTCTTGATGATATTTTTGGAAATCCCAAAGATGTATACAGTTTATAACTAAAATCAGGAGGCTTTATTTCCCATATGTTAACTTTAGTTGCACACTGTGGAGGTTGCAGAATACTGTTTTCCCATTTGGAGTTGAGATTTTGTTGTGAGGGGTATTGCAGCCTCTTTGTGACATCCTTGTCTCTCATGCCTCTCTGAGCCTCGTGGTACATTATGTGGAGGGCGTTTTCACATGGAGGAATCTGCAACAGATATGGAAATTGGTGAAGTGTGGCGCTATAGCAGTGGTGTATTCAACATTTTCTCTCCAGGCCAAGTTAATCTTTTAAAGATTTATGAGGCAGAGAAAAGCTCAAAGATGATGGGAGAGTGTACAGACGGGAAGGAAAAGGCATCACTGCTGCAAATATTTATTCAGCACCTTTGTCACAGCACTCACTGTGTCAGGGGCCAGAAATTCATAATTGATTGGTTCAAAATCCATGTCCTTAAGTAACTGAGCAGCTACTTAAAAGACAAACATAAAAACAAAAATTAAAGCCTATGTACTTTGATTGGTATTGCAATAGTGTTATGAGAAGGAAGGAGAATGGTCAGCTAGCTTTATCGTGAAAATAGAAGTGATGTGGAAAGAAAAGTCATTCGCACTGATCTTGAAAGGTAAGTAGAAACATTCCAGGTAGTAAAGGAAAGAAATAACATTTCACCAAGACTTAGAAAGTGTGTAAAATTTGTCATTAGTTACTTCTATGATATCTGTAGGTGCCTAACCCATCACAAGTACATTGTAGCTACTGCTATTGAAACTTACATACATGAGAATCATAGTTTCTTTGTTGCTGACGAGCAACAGTCATTAAATCCTAGAAGATTGCTAACAACTTCCTTGTTGCTTCTAGGATTTAATGACTGTGTCAATATGTTACCAGATGATTCCAATAACTCTGAGATCTCCTTGGAAAGAAAAATAATTACCAATTAGAATATAACACAACAATGCTGGTTCCTGGGGCATAAAGACCAGATGCAGGGATGAATTTCCTTGTCTTGTGCTAACCTTTTGTGTTATTTTATAATAACATCAAGCTAGAAGATTTTAAAATTTCTAAATGCTAATATTCAACAATCTAAAGTTGCAAATGAAGAGAAACTACTTTGAAGATACATTTCAAATATCAACTTTAAAAAACTAATATTATTTTGTAATGGTGAATTGTTTCCAAATACTAATATAAAATTTTTATTTTTAAATGACAATGTCATATTGAGAGAAAATCAAGAAGCCCAGTGTAGCAGGAACATAGCATGTATATGTGAGAAGGCAGTAAAAATGATATAATAGATAAAACTAGAAACAACATAAAAAAGGGGAGTGGAGTTATATAAGAACAAAAGTTTAAGTACATTATTAAAATTAAAATGATAATCACATGATTTATATCTCTGGCTAATCAAGGATTACATCTCATGTTGCCTTATGGCTTTGGCACTCATCACAGTGTCTTGCATGTGGCAAATACTAAGTAAACATTGTTGAATAGGTGATGGAGGTAGGAGGCGTGACATAGGAAAGATTGCCCAGAAGAAGGCACTAGGAGACCTAAGTTGCATCTAGTCCCATTTATTAACTAGTTTTGAGATTTAGCTAAATACTAATTCTCTTTGTTGCATAGATTCCAAGTCTATGTTTGGTCTCAGTCTTAAATGACACAACCAGATATTAACCAACTGCAGGCTATCTGGAAAGTATCCAGCCCTTGTTAATAAAACTAGAATATATTACATGGCTGGATACTTTCTGGACAGCTCTTGTATCTTGAGCATGTACTGTGTGCCTACTTACACCATGTGCTTTCTACGATGTGACTTACTGAATCCCACACAAAATTTCAAGATTCCTCCTGATTGGAAGGAAGAGAAATCTCAGTGATGCCAATTATTGTTTGTTTGCTGGCTTTGTATGAGCTCAAATTCTCTTCAAATATAACTGTGTGTTGTATCTCTGTGGTGTTTTTGCAAATATCTTAGAATGTAAAACTTTAGGGGCAGTTTCCAGTTCCAACTGTGCTCGGAAAAGTGGATATCCATATGCAGAAGAATGAAACTAGACCCTTATCTCTTACCATATTATGAAAATTAAATTAAAATGGATTAAAGACTTGAATCTAACAACCAAAACTATGAAACTACTAAAAGAAGACATTGGGGAAATGCTTCAGGACATTGGTCTGGGCAACAACTTCTTAAGTAGTGCCCCCAAAGCTCAGGCAACCAAAGCAAAGTTGAACAAATGGGAACACATCAAGTGAAAAACCTTTTATACCACAAAGGAAACAATCAACAAAGTAAAGGGACAACCCAAAGAATGACAGAAAATATTTGCTAACTACCCATCTGACAATGAATTAGTTAGTAGAATATATAAGGAGCTCCAACAACTTAATAGGAAAAAATCAAATAATGTGATTAAAAAATGGGCAAAATATTATAATAGACATTTCTCCAAAGAAGACATACAAATAACCAACAGGTATATGAAAAAATGTTCAACATCATTAGTCATCAGAGAAATGCAAATCAAACCCAAAGAGATATCATCTCACCTCTGTTAAAATGGCTTTTATAAAGAAGGCAATAATTAATGCAGGCAAAGATGTAGAGAAATGGGAACCCTTGTACACTTTGGTGGGAATGTAAATTAGTGCAACCACTCTGGAGAACAGTATGGAGATTCCTCAAAACATTGAAAATGGAATTACCATATGACCCAGCAATCCCACTGTTAGGTATATATCAAAAGAAAGGAAATAAGTATATCAAAAAGATAGCTGTACTCCCTTGTTTATTATAGCACTATTCACAATAGCCACAATTTGGAATCAACCTAAATGTCCATCAACAGATGAATGGATAAAGAAAATGTGGTATATATACACAATGGAATATTATTCAGCCATAAGAAAATGAAATCTTATCAGTTGCAACAACAGGGAAGGAACTGGAGAATATTATGTTAAGTAAAATAAACCAACCACAGAGAGACAAATTTTGCTTGTTCTCCCTTATATGTGGGAGCTAAATATTAATAGTGAAATAATTTGTCTCATGGAGACAGAGAGTAAAATGATAGTTATCAGAGGCTGGGAAGGATATCGAGGAGGGGGATAAAGTGGGGATGATCAATAGGTGCAACAATATAGTTAGAATTAATAACATTTGATAACACAATAAAGTAATCATAGTCAACAATAAGTTATAGCATATGTTAAAATAACTAAAAGGGTGGAATTGTGTTAGGAATGTTCCCAACACAAAGAAATGATAAATGCTTTAGGTAATGAATACCCTAATTACTCTTATTTGATTAATTCACATTATATTCCTGTATCAAGATATCATATGCACCCTATAAATATATATAGCTATTGTATACCAATAATAATTAAACATTTTTAAAAACGCCCCAAACAAACAAACAAATGTGGTTGAAATTTTGAAGGTTAGAATTATCCTTCTAATACTCTTCCAGAGGAAAGGGTACCCTAGCCCTTATTTGATACTTTCATTTCCCTTGTCATATCTGTCTATATTTAAGAGATTGATATATGACATCTCAGTTCTGATGCACTTTAACACATGAACTATGAAATTAAGTCTCTTCACTCTGATTTTATTTTCACAAAATAACCTTCAGATGATAAACTGGCTTCACATGAACAATAATCTAATAGAAGATAATAAGTAACAAAGAAAACATGAATTATTTTGGTTTATTTTTTATGTAATCAATTCACATTTCTGGTTTTCATATTGGAGTCTTTTGAACCTGGTTAATATGACTTCAGCCCTGACTCAGTCAACTCACTGGAGGTTAATGAAAAGCAATTCCTTACTAGGTGGTGGTTAATTTGTTCCAGGTCCACTCCTTCTTTTAAAACAGTCTTGCCTCACACAAGACTCTAACATTTCTGCAGAAACAGATTTTTAAATTTCTGAGGAGCACTGAAGGTTCAGCCTTGACCAAAATGTTAATGTACTTATCTCCTACAGGACTCAGAAATATGGCTACATGAATAAAGAAAGCATATGAGTGGACTGGCTCACAGTCAGTGTTTCGTAACTGTTGCAATGAAAAGATATTGAGGTTGATGATGTCAGTTAGTAAGAGTGTGAATTGTCTCATCAGGAAGTACAGGAAAGAAATTGATGCCAGGAGGATCATAAACTGAGAGAAGGAGAATAAGTCAAGACACCGGAAGTCTAATTTGTATAAAACAAGTATCATGGCAGTAAACGAGCTGTAACATGAAGAGGTTGTAGTTTGAGAATATAGCCCCTGGTCTGGATCTTTCTTGGACTGGGCACCTGGGAGTGGACACAAGCTCATCAGTCCATCTTGTTGCTGCTGATGGCCATGCCTGTCTCTTCTATATAAATCTCAGCATTTCCTGCTACCGGAAATTGTTACTATGTCATATTTTATTTTTTTTATTTATTATTTCATTTTATTTTATTTTAGACAGAGTCTTGCTTTGTTGCCCAGGCTAGAGTGAGTTCCATGGCGTCAGCCTAGCTCACAGCAACCTCAAACTCTTGGGCTCAAGCGATCCTTCTGCCTCAGTCTCCTGAGTAGCTGGGACTACAGGCATGAGCCACCATGCCCGGCTAATTTGTTCTCTATATATATTAGTTGGCCAATTAATTTCTTTCTATTTGTAGTAGAGACGGGGTCTCAGGCTGGTTTTGAACTCCTGACCTTGAGCAATCCACCTGCCTCGGCCTCCTAGAGTGCTAGGATTACAGGCATGAGCCACCGCGCCCAGCCACTGTGTCATATTTTAAAATAGAATACATTTGTTTCAGTTCTACATGATACCTTATTTTGTCCTTTTATTATACATTTATTATTCCATATTATTCTTTTGAAAAATTTGTATGTAAAATTAGGCTCCCATAGTGTGTGAATCATAGATTAGCTTGTGTCTTTGTAGTTCCCAGTCAGAAATAAATCAACAAGAGTTCTAATTGAGTGATTAAACACTGTGATGCCAATTTTGCATCATATTCTTCATTTTACATGGAAAAAACAAAAGCATAGAGAAATACAAAATTATAAGATACATGGCTTAAAAATGAAGGAAAAATAATTTAGTCAAAGATTTAGTGGTAAATACTAATTCTATCGAAGTTATATTTTGTCTAAGATGTTTCATTGGAGATAAAAGAATGACTTAACCTATATTTAATAAGCACAATTATTCTCTCTATATAGGTCTTCAAGGACCAGTTTAAAAGCTGCCTCCTAGCAAAGTATTTAAGGTATCCCTATCAAGATTCATCTTTTCTTTTTGTGAATACAGCAATGGAACTTGGAAATGTAGCAATGGAAGCTACATTTTGCCTTGTACCTTGTTAATTATCTATGAATCAGCCCAAATGAGATTATAAAATTGAGACAAGGATTTCTGTCTCTACAAACTCTACATACCATTCCACATGTTTTAGGTTGAGCTGTTTGAAACTGTTGTTATTCAGCCATTTTCAACCTTACAAAAATGCAAATGTTCTATGATTGAAATATAATGTTTGTCAACTTTGGAAAATTACAGATATTTCATTTTTAAAAACTGTATCTAAAAACTAAAACACCTAATCATATTCTTTTTAAATAATGAAAATCTTCACCACAATAGTAGCAATATAAAAACATTTTATTTGAATTTCTTCCTCAAACATTTTCTAATGGAAAATTACAAAATATTTTTATCTGCTATTGTAATGTTAATTAAAAAGACATACATATGTTTGGTCAGTAAATATATGCAAATTGCAAATTTAAGCTTCTTTTGTTTAATATTTGAATTTAATTTTTGTAACATTAAATATTTTAAGAGATAGATAAACAAACAAATAAAAATACACTTCCTACCTAATGCTGCCCATATAAGAAAAGGTCATTGTAAAATAATCTGCTGTTACAATCACTTCTTATATCACAAATTCGTGTGTTAAGTTGCATATAGAGGAAATTCAGTACTTTCTTCCAGCTGGGCTTACTCCTTCTTAATATATTTTTCATGATTTATTATTGACTATATTATATATAAATAAATTGGTTCTCTCACAAGGGAATTCATCTTATATATTTTAACATATAAGATACAGAGATTCCAAAGAGCTAGTCAAATTGACAAACTAGGTGAATTCAAAACAAAAAACAAAAGGCAGAAAACATTCATTAGAAAATCAGTAACTTCACTCACCATTTGAAACAGCTTTTTGTAAAAGTTTTTATAGCAGTGTATCTTAGCAAATCTTTTCTGCAAAGCCGAAGGAGACTAACAAACAGGCAGTTTATAGGGGAAACATTTATCCTTTGCTTTTAAGAACCAAAAGTATGCTTAAGTTTCACTCCTCTGGGTTGCTAAGAAACCGAGTTAATGTCAGAGTAGGAAAAAAAAAAAGTAAAACTAGGACCTCTAACTGTTGCCTAAAACCTAGCAACAAAGCAAAAAATCCCATGCTCTTTTTAAATGTTTGAAAAATCAACATAATAAGAAGCTCAATACTCAGCAAATACAGAGGAGGAGGGGGAGAGAGAGAGAGAAAGAGAGAGAGAGAACGAATAATTACACTCCAGGACAGTTTTACTAAGTAAGTCCTGACAGCTCATCTTTTGTATTTGTTTAGTAATCTGATTTATAAGGTGATATGAGTTTGATATTTGATATATACAGGATTCCGAGAAGCATTTTCAACTTTTTTATTATGTATATTTGGGCTTGAGAAGGTTGAGTTCATTTCTCCAAAGGCCATTTTATAAAACAAGCAAAGATTACAAGTTCTTCTTCCTAACCTATGGCTTGACCTACTAATTTCTGCTACACAATTTATGTAGAAATCTCCTTCTTTTTATTAATAAAACCCTACACTCAATAGGTACATATCTCTTGGTGAGAATTAAAAAAAAAAACTTTTAGTTATAGAAAAATCTCAAACATATATAAAAGTAGACAAAAGTATATAATGAATCTCCACGTAACCATCACTCATTTAAAAAAATTAATGGTTTGTGGCCAATCTTGGTTCACAAAATTGCTTTACATATCTCTCCAACTTTTCTCCCTCCATTTCTCATATTATTTTGAAGCATCATACCACTTTATCAGTAATTATTTCAGTGTTTCCCCCAAAAGATAAAAACTCTTATTTTTAAAACATAATCACAGCACCATTATGACAAATAAAAAAAAAACGACATACATACATAATGAGTGAGATGTGCACCATCTGGGGGATGGTCATGATGGAGACTCAGACTTTTGGGGGGAGGGGGGGAAATGGGCATTTATTGAAACCTTAAAATCTGTACCCCCATAATATGCCAAAATAAAAAAATAAAAAAAAAAACGAACGTCAATTGATAGACTAAATATCCACTCAATATTCAAGTTTCCAATTATCTCATAAATGTCATAAATAATTTTGTTTTTGCCTTTTTCTTTATAGCTTGTTTGATTTGGGCTAGCTGTTTACTCTCATTTGGTCCAAAATTTTCTGAGACCTCAGTATTACTTTCTCTTCCCATATTTTTCTAATGGAATATAAAATTTCCTAGACAAAGAGACCTAATGGCTGGAGAGTTTTGACTATTTTGACTATTATTTTATTTAAAGCAAAAGTTTGCCAGTGGGTGGCAGTGCATTACTTATAATTTTGTCCTAGTTTATAAACTGAGAAGCAAAATAAATTTTCCTTTACTGTTTTCCCTGATGTCCAATTTTATGATGTTTTTTTCCTAATGGAAGTGACAGTAAAGTTGAATTGAGTAAATTTCTTACAGGTTTTGGAAATACAATTCACTTATACTCTTTCATTTATGCCTCCTTTTTCTTTTTTGCACAGATTTGCATATGTTCCTTTATCAAAAGCTTATATTAAAGGGCCTACTTATATTTAGTTCATTATTATTAGTTGTTTGGGATGACAAAATAAATTCTAATATGGCCCCAGATTTCAAGGAAATTATAAAAAGTAGGCTAGAAAAATACAAACCTGTAAGAATAATCATAAGACAAGGTGTTAAATGCCAAGTGATCTGTCCTGACAGTTACTTTCATGGGAAATAGTGGGAGGAAGATCTCTGAAATTTGAGTATATCTCTGAAGATTTTATAGAGTAACTAAAATCAGTACTAATTCCTGAGCAGAGAACTTAATAAAAGGGCAGAAGAAGGGAAAGAAATTTGAATGGATGGGTAGCATAAGCAACATTCTGGAATTCTCTTTAAGACTCTCAGGAATACAGTCTCAGGATTTTCTCATATGGAAATGTTATTTTGTAGCTAAGTGACTTGAATTATATGCAGAACCACCCAAAACTCTCTTCTCAGGTTGATAATTCTAATTGTGTATTAGAATTTTATTACACATGGATATCTATGGGATGTACAGGATCTGTTTCTCAGCTTACACAAATTTTGGAAGGAAACAAGTTGTGGCAAATGAAAACTGCAATACTGTGATTTTTACTTTTCTAGGTGTTAAGGAATATGCATGCTTTTGAATAAATTACTTAAATAATATATATTTGTACAAATGAATTAACTTAAAATTCATTGTAGTAATAATTTTATCATATAGCAGGTAACTGTAGTTTAAAATACAGTCTTCCATAAGTTAAAAAGGAAGTAAAATAGGCTTTAAATTATGTTCAGAAAAAGAAAATAAGAATGAGAGAGTTTCTTTACTTGGGTATAGTGAATAATATTAACTGATGCCATGTTGTGACTAAACTGTCCAACTCCTACTTTATGTCCTTCTCTATCAAAGGGAACTACTTCCAAACTGGAAATAACAACACAAATAAGGAAGCATTGAAGCTTAAGATAGATGAGATGATAATCAGAAAACACAGTTATTTACTATCTTCAGGTCCATAGATCTGTATGGATTACATATCAGAACAATAATAAAACAACTGGCAATGGAAAATGAGGTGGTATCTTTTGGAAACTTGCTGAGAAAACAAGGTGCTTACTATAAGACTGGATATTGGAAATCAGACATGCGCGAGTTTATCGTTGGAATAGTTGCACAAGATAGCCTCCGTGTGGCTGTCATCTTGCATGGTGCACAGTGTGAGTTAGGGAATGGACTTTATCAGGTAACAAATTTACAACAGAAAGGTCAGGGGAAAAAAAGTGGGTTTGGGTCTTGTGATCCTCCTCCTAATATCCCCTGGGTAGGTGACCAGGGCCAGGACAGTCTGTTAACACACGGTGGGTGAACATTTTGGGCGGTCGGAATTCCTCTTCCTGTTGCTCCTCTTTTATGACAGAGCAAGCCTGAGAGCAGCTTTATCAATGGGGGAAGAGAGACGGAACAGACTGACTAGCAAGTCATCTGGGCACTAGCCTTATTGAGTTTGCATGCCAGATGTTCATAGGAATTGTTTGGGAAAGTGGTCTGGTGACTTTGGAAACCTGTGTTAACACCTGGTGACTCTGGGCATCTATGCAAACTTGAATTCCTCTTTTTCAAGGCAAAAGGCTGATAATCCAGTGAAAAGCTGAGTGTGAAAGCAGCCCTACCCCTAGGAGGAGAGAAGACTCCCCAATTTTAATGGTCTCAGGGTATCGGCAGCCCAAGATGAGCTCTCAGGGATATTTTAGGACAGTCATACTTGTTGTACCACAGAACCTCAATACATTCTGAAATAGATTTTTGTTTTTAAACAGATGATCAGTGATTGCTTTAGGGAAATGGGACTTTCTGATCCTCAGACATAAAGTTCAACTCATGGTAGATTTGTCTACAAAACAAGGCTATACATGGGTAAAATACACCTAATGGTGTGTGATGCTATCTTACTATTCCTACACTAACTTTGGCTACCTTTTAAGCCTGAGGTTGTCTGTGTCAGGGTTACTGACATTCAAAGCCTGTCTGCAAATTTGTGGGGGCTTTTTCCTTTTCTTCCAAGAGGCCCCTCAAATTTCCTAGGATTGGAGACCCCCTCCTTCAGTTACCTATGTTCAAGTCACACAGATGAAACCATGCTCTCCCAGTTGGGTGTGAGCGATGCTTCAAGGACTTACCTTGTTCTGCAATTACTCACTGGGTCAAGCATCCACAATGCATGGCAGTGTGCTGCAGCTGGTACCAGTGTGGATGCCACCATGAGTGATCTTTCCTAAGGACTCAGGCACAATGGTGAATGTTGCCTTCTCTCTTCCCTTTTACCATACCCACCAGTCTCTGGGTGCCCTCCTCCACGCCCATCCTCAGGCACTTGTGGTGATTTGTCACCCTCTGGTGGTTCATAATTCTTGTTTTTATCACCTCATTCAATCTGCTGCCTTTTCTAGCTCCCAAAATGCACATTTATTTCCTTTTATGCATCATCAAGTACTAACCCTGTTTATCATTCTAAATTGAAGTAGACTTCACCTCTTCTTAAAGTTCTAACAGAGAATTACAGTTCTATTTGTCCAATTTCAAAACAGTAGAGAAATTTATTTAAGAAATAACCTTCATTCCTTCCCATTTAGTGGCATATGAAAATTTTTCTTGGCAATACAGTGTTTCAGACAAAGATCAGTCTGAATGATCTTTGCTGTGTACCAGGCACTGTTCTAGATGTTCTGTATGTGCTAATACATTCAATCTCACAACAATCTTTGGAAGCAGCTATTTTTATTACCTCATTTTACAGAGGAAGAAACTGAGAAAGAGAGTCTAATAACTTGCCCAAGGTTATACAGCTAATATGCAGCTCAGCCAAGATGCAAACCTATCCAATTAGGCCTTGGAGGCAAGGTTCTTAACCTCTATAGTACAGAGACTAAATCAGTAGTTCTCAAAGTGTGACTGACCCCTGACGAGCAGCATTAATATCATTTGGGAACTTGTTAAACATGCTAATTCTCAGGTCCTACCCCAAACCTACTGAGTCCGAAACTTTGGAGGTGGGGCCCGGCAACGTGTGTTTTAACAAGCCCTCCAGGTGATTCTGATGTTTATTCAAATTTGCAAACCTCTTCTTCAGAGAATAGTGAAGCATTTGCTAGTATAGGTTTTAAATTTTCTTTTCTCTGGTAGCAAATCATTGCACATATTCACACACACATCTAGTGTTTTTCTCATCCCAGTAACTTGTAATCACTTTAATTGCAATTTATTTACAACTAAAACAACTACATGTCTTTTTGTTTAAGAGTCAAAGAGGATTTTATAGTTTCAAACAGATATCCTAAGAGATGTAAGATAATACAAAATGTTTTTTCTTTTCCAAAGCAAGATTATTCAAGATCCTTAAAGAGCAGAATTAATTCAAATCTAGCAATAGATTGCAAAACTT